TTTTTTTTTTTTGAGACAGAGCCTCAAGCTGTCACCTTGGGTAGAGTGCTGTGGCATCACAGCTTACAGCAACCTCCAATTCCTGGGCTTAAGCGATTCTCTTGCCTCAGCTTCTCAAGTAGCTGGGACTACAGGCTCCCGCCACAATGCCCGGTTTATTGTTATTATTATTATTTTGGTTGTAGTTGTCATTGTGGTTTGGCAGGCCCAGGCTGGATTCGAACCTGCCAGCTCTGGTGTATGTGGCTGGCGCCTTAGCTGCTTGAGCTATAGGCGCCAAGCCCTGACATTTTTTTATAACAGTTCTTATCCAACCGCCCACTAAGGAATGGCTCCAGGGCTGTGAATGTACAGAGTTCTCTTGTTGGGCTTCTTGTCTCTGTTCATACAGGAGTAATTCTGTGTGTCTCCGAGCGTCTTTCCCTCGCTCTTTGAGGGTCTTCATGTTCTCTGTTTCTCCGGGTCTCAGACGGTCCTCATGTCCCACGTGGTCTTACTTGGTTCAGCGTCTAGCCTCGCCCCTGTCTGGTTCCCGCGGCCCCTTTAAGGCAGGCCCCGCCCCTGCCCCGCCTCCCCCGGGTCAGTCCGGGAGCACCCGGCACCGTCTCAGTGTGCACCCTGCGGAGGGCGCGATGGCGGTTTCTGCGCTGAGAGTATCCTGGCGGCAGCTGAGCCACCAAACCGGGTCTGGAGCTCCCATCCTCCTACGGCAGGTGCGAGATGGCTGGACCCGGGAGGGGATTCCTGGGCCCTAAGCGGCAGGAGGGACGGAACTCCTGGGTCCTTTAATGGGGCGAGGTCTGAGGGCTCCTCGCCTGGCTTTTGAAGAATGGGGATGGGAGCTTGGAGCTGGACTCCTGGGTCCTTTAACGGTGAGTTGTCTGGGGATCCTGGGCTTGGGGTCGGACTCCTGGATTCCTGACGAAACAATATACTGGGGACCCTGATTGGGGGGGGTTAGATAGTTGGAACTTCTTGTTCTGAAGGAGGAAGGTGATGCGCCTCAGGAGTTAAGGGGAGAGAAGGGTTTGGGATTTCTGGATCTTGGAGGATTGAGTCAAGGCCTGGACACCTGGGTCTCCAGCTGGTGGGAATCTCGTTCTGTGCTCTCACTTATGCACCATCCCCATTTCCAGTTGTTTGAGCCCACAAGCTGCACCTACACTTATCTTCTGGGTGACAGGGAGTCCCGCGAGGCCGTTCTGATCGACCCTGTCTTGGAGACAGCGCCTCGGGATGCCCAGCTGGTCAAGGAGCTAGGGCTGCGACTCCTATATGCTGGTCAGTGTGGGAACCAAACTCCTGGGTCTGAGGGAGGTGGGCTGCCCGGGAAGTGGAGTGGAAACTGGGAGCCTGGACTCCTCGGGCTGAGGGAGAAGGGGTCTGGGGATAAGAATCCCGGGTCCTCTATGCCCCCTTCTGGACCTGTCCCTCCTCTCTCTCCCAGTGAACACCCACTGCCATGCAGACCACATTACTGGCTCAGGGCTGCTCCGTTCCCTACTCCCTGGCTGCCAGTCTGTCATCTCCCGCCTTAGTGGGGCCCAGGCTGACTTGCACATTGAGGATGGAGACTCCATCCGCTTCGGGCGCTTTGTGAGTTGTATACTGGGTCCCCAAGAGGGTGGTGGCCTGGACTCCTTGAACAGAAGGGAAGGGTGAACTAGGAGCCTGGGATCCTGACTCCTGCTTGGGGGGAGGAGAGACCTCACCTCCGGGACCTGGGTTCCTGACCCCTGAGCTCATGTTTCTGGGAGGAAGGCACTATAAACTTAGGTGTGGCTCTGGGGCTAGAGGTTCTGGGAGGTGTGTCTCTGGCAGAACACCTTAAGTCAACAGCATTTATGGAGTTTTCTAAGGCTTTGGGGCAACTCCTTTGGCCTGACATCTCCATAAAACTTGATTGAGGGATGAAATTCTGAGTCTTGGCTTGAGAAGGAGACCCAGTCCTGTCCTCTGAGAACCACTGTTTGGGGGAAGGAGCATCCCATTGCCCTGAGTCAAGACAGGGTGAGACAAGTGAGGCCACTGTAGTGCAACATTTAAGGAGGCACTCACACTTAGGGTCATGTTAACGCAGATTCAGCATTGGGAGTGAGCACCTCCTTAAATTTTGACCCAAGTCACGCCCTGTGGTTTAAAACGGGCTGGTGGTTTCCTCACACAGGAATGGTCCAAGGTTCCTGCCTCTTTTTATTTGTTGCAGACAGGCAGGGACTGGTTTCCAAGCAGAATTGCCACCCAGGACTCTATGGGGGATGGTCAGGGGAGTTGCCCACAGAGAGAGGGAAATAGCTGACAGGGCTTTTTTCTGATTGGAGTTGCTAAAGATGTAGAGTTTTGTTGACTTTGGGGACAAAATATCACATGACATGGTAGGGCCTCCAGGTTAGGGGGTAGAGGGTGTTGCTGAATGGGGCAGTTTGAATTAGAGTATTTAGTGGAAACGTGGATGACAGTGTTTAGCTACAATGGTCACAGAGTATTTCAAGCCTTTTTCTGGAAGCAGGGTTGTGCGTGGTGTACATAATAATTGCTAATAAGTATTTCTTGGATTTGAGACAGTGATGTTTTCAATAAATGAATGTTGAGGGGTTTAGCTATAGTAGATTTATCGTTAGTGTTTTTTTTCTTTTAATAGATAATATTGATATCAACATACTGTACAAATTTAAAGTGTACAGTTAGCCAGGTCTGATGGCTTATGCCTCTAATTCCAGTACTCTGGAAGGCCAAGGTGGGAGGATCATTTGACACCAGGAGTTTGAGGCCAGCCTGGGCAACATAGTGAGACCCTAGCTCTACAAAAAATAAAATTGGCTGGGCATGGTGGCATGTGCAGGCTAAGGCAAGAAGATCACATGAGCCCAGGAATTCCAGGTTACAGTAAGCTATAATTGTGCCACTGCACTCCAGCCTGGGTGACACAGTTAGACCGTGTCTCTAAAAAAGAATGAATAAAAATTTAAAAAAATGTGCTTTATCAAGCCATAGTTTGCCAACCCCTCATGTAGAGCATTCCATCATGTGAATATACTACAGTTTATTTAGCCATCCTCTTTTTGATGATTGTGTCCAATTTTTTTTTATTGAATGGTAACTATGTACATTAATGCACTTCTGGGGTACAGTGTGGGGTTTTCACATGCAATCCGAAATACTTCCATCAAACTGGTCAACAGAGCCTTCATGTCATTTTCTCAGTTATTGTTTTAAAACGTTCACATTCTACTCTTAGAAAGATTCACTTGTACCCCTGTAAGATAAACC